CTCCCCACCCCCCCATCCCTCCTCCATTTCCCCCCAACAGACCCCAGTGTGTGATGCTGCCCTCTCCGTGTCCATGTGTTCTCATTGTTCAACACTCCCCTATGAGTGAGAACATGCGGTGTTTGATTTTCTGCTCTTGTGTCAGTTTGCTGAGAATGATGGTTTCCAGGTTCATCCATGTCCCTACAAAGGACATGAACTCATCATTTTTGATGGCTGTGTAATATTCCATGGTGTATATGTGCCACATTTTCCCTGTCCAATCTATCATCGATGGGCATTTGGGTTGGTTCCAGGTCTTTGCTATTGTAAACAGTGCTGCAATGAACATTCGTGTGCATGTGTCCTTATAGTAGAACGATTTATAATCCTTTGGATACATACCCAGTAATGGGATTGCTGGGTCAAATGGAATAGTTTCTTCTAACTTATACACACTACACCCTTATAACACACCAGGTACCATGTAAGGAACTGGGATATGACCTCTGCCCTCCCAGGCCTACTGGAGAGGCAGGTAAATGCCACCACCTGCTGAGTAAAGCATAAGGGGATAGAGCTTTTACCCCTAGCAAGAGTGCGGTGGTAACCATAAGAAAGAAATGTCATCTCAGAGCTGACACTGGGGAAGGATCTGGGCTGCAGGGAGGAACCGCTGACTGTGTGTCCATGAGCCTGGCTAGCAGACTTTCTGGGTGCTCCACAGACCAGTGGGTGTGAAGGACCTAAGAGCTGCTGTTCTTAGGGGCAAATGCCTGAGTGAAATAATGTGAGAGGTACCAGAAAATAAACAAGTATCCTTCCCTACCTCCTGCTATGATGCCAAATATTTTTGACTAGGGTCTTAAGGCTCGTCATTCATTGAGAGACCCATATTAATACACCAGAGCCTCCTAGGAGGGGACAATCAACTAATTCCGTGTCACAGACTGTATTGAGTTGCTGTTTCATGCCGAACACAATGAAGAGAAAATGACCTTCAAGATGCACACATTTTGAAGAAAGAATGTACAGGCTTATAACTAGATCATTATGACTCAGCGATATGTTGCAATCACGGAAGTATTTGCTTCTCCATTCAACAAATATTTATTGAAACGTACTTTGTTCCAGGCACTGAGCTAGATATGAGGATAATATAAGATGGTAAATAAGAGAGGCAGCATCATATTATAGAACATATGTTTATATCATGTTAAGGGATAAAAAGATCTTTTTTGAAACAAATTTGATTATTTCTGATAGTGATTACTGCTATAATGTTTATTTTAAAATAAGAGTTGGGGACAACTTTGGGTAAGAAAGTCCTAGCCAGGAAGTGACAGTGTAACAGAGGCCTAGAAGATGGGAAGGGACCAGCACACAAAGTCTGCCAGGACAAAACTGTAGGCAGAGGGAACTGAAAACCCAGTGGCCCTGAGCAGGCAGTGGTCTCAGCATTCTTGGGAGCAGAGATTAGGCCAGTGTGGTGGAGGTTAAGTCTTCAAGACAGGCGAGTGTAGGGCAGTGAGCACCACGTTTTGGACTTCGCCAGGTCACATATGTGAAACAGTTTGGATTTTCTTCCAGCTACAATGGGAAGCCATTGGAGGACTTTAAGCAGGGACGTGACCCAATTGGATTTTTTTTTTTTGAGACGGAATCTCTCTCTGTCACCCAGGCTGGAGTGCAGTGGCACAATCACAGCTCCCCACAGCCTCCACCACCTGGGTTCATGTAGTCCTGCCACCTCAGCCTCCCAAGTAGCTGGGACTACAGGCACATGCTACCCACACCCGGCTAATTTTTTGTATTTTTTTTTTTTTTTTTTTGTAGAGACTGGGTTTTGTCATGTTGCCCAGGCTGGTCTCGAATTCCAGGACTTAAGCAATCCGCTCACCTTGGCCTCCCAAAGTGCTGGGATTACAGGCATGAACCACTGCGCCCAGCCAGCTTTATGTTTTTTTAAAGGTCACTTTGTGGAGAAGGAATTTTGGGGGCACAAATGTGGAAGTCGGAAACTCAAATATGAGGCTCGCACTTCAGTCCAAATGAGAAGTGATGGTGGGCCGAGCCAGCCAGCGGAGACGGAATGTTGTGAAATTATTTGGAATCTATTCTGGTAGCAGAACAACCAGGCCTGTTAATAGATTGGGTGGGGGAGGGCAGTTTTAAAAATCAAATAAGACCATTAATTTGGGGACAATTAGGTGACCGGCAGTGACATCAAGAGGTGGAAGCCAAATTTCCAAACACAGATGTCACCTGCCTATTTGTGATGCTGTTGGTTGTGGTATTGAGAGAGATCGTCATCTAGGGAGAAAGGGCAAAAACTGATTCGCTTAATGATTAACTTGGGAGCACTCGATGTTTAGTGGTTTAGCAGAGAAGGAGCTGGGAAAGGATGCTGTGGAGCAGCAACCAATGTGGAGGGAAAGCAGGGGAGGGAGGCGTTGATGTCGGAAAGACAGTTTTAAGAGCAAGGGGGTAGCCAGACAATTAAAACTGTAATTGTTAGGTTGATGAAGACAGGGAATCAACCTTGATAAAGACAGGTGGATTGGGCACCAGGCTTCCATGGAGATAACTGGATGAATGCCCTAATGCATCTGAACGGTGGCTAGTCCAGCCTGCCTGGAATCACTGTCTGTGGCACTCCAGAAAGGCCACACCCTATGGACTCACTGACCTGGGTTCGCATCCCGGATCTTCCACTTACTTGGAAGTGAACTTGGGCAACTTACCACTTGTTTCTGAGCATTGGTTGTTTCTTCCATAAGCTGGCAATAACCACAACTCATGGCATCATCATGGATATTGCTGGAAAGTATTAGGCACTCGAAAACTGTAAGTGCTCAATGAGTTGTAGCCTTCTGAGTGTCACCATCCTGCTCTCACCTGTGTTGCTTGTCTGGTGCATTCTGGGTGGGCAACCTCCTGTCTCCTCTGTGTAGCTGCCTCCTCTGCTTAACAAGCCTGGGCACAGAATCAGCCTGCCTAACACAGGACCTGGTGTGAATTACATGCTCAATGAAATGTTTGCGGTGACAACAACTGAACGAGAAATGTTCGTAGAGACGTGTCAATGGAAACGCTCAGAGAATTCAAACAGAGGGGAAAACGATCCGTTCCTCCCTTCTCTCTCTACACGCCAGGCCCACATTTTTCCAGAATAACCAGAGAGGCAAAAATAGCTCCTTTTCCCATTTTCAGAGAGCAGGATGTCCTTTCTTAAAACTTACCCAGGTATTACTTAGTAAGCATTTTCTGTTGTGGATATCACCACTTCCTAAAGTGGAAATGCCGCTTAAAGAAAATCAGACTAAATAAGACGATTTAAAGTTTTATTGAGTAAGCTTCACAGGTGGGCATTTTGATTGACATATCCAGGTACTCATTACAAGTCAGACAACCAAAGCTTCATTTTAAAAGTTAAAGCAATCTTGCTGCTCATAGAATATTTTTTAAGCCTTAAATCTAACCAAAATTTAATTTCATTCAGTGATATCTATTTATCCATTGCTAGATACCTCCTTTTCAGAAAGAACTTAAAGGTACTGTTTTATTCCCATTACAAAGCTCTATCTAAATCACCACAACGATTCATGGAAAGAACACCAGACTTAGCACCAGAAAATCTGTTCAAATCAAGATAGTAATACTTCCTAGCTATATGTCCTAGAGTAAATCAAAATGCTTCTAACCTTAGTTTCCTCATCAGCAAAATAAGGATAATGATGTTGACCTTAAAGGATTGTTTTGACAATTCAATGAAATAAAATATGCAGATGGAATGTATCCATTATAAAGCACCAGCAAAATGCAAGGCAGTATTATTATTCATGTGCAAAGACAGTTCATTCATCATTCAGTGCATATTTATTGAATAGTCCCACTTGACAGACATTTTGCTTGACAGTGAAGATACAAAGTCAAGAAAAGATAGCCATGGGCCGTAAGGAGCCTAGATTCCAGCGGAGGAACCGAAACTAAAAGGCAGAGGAAAGCTCTGCGTGCTTGGGAGCCAGAAAGAACTCCTAGACTGGGTATGGGAAGCGAGGGAGGCCTGGAGGCCTCCTGAGGGGCTGACACTGGAATAAACTCCATCACTACATATCCAGCAAGAGTCAACCGATCTGAGTCCCTCCTCTGTGGGGTGGTCCACATACTCCACAGTCCTGGGCCCTAAGCTAGTTCAAAAGCATCCTGGCCCTTTAAGGCAGGCGTTCTCAACCTCAGCACCATTGATATTTTGGTCTGGATAATTCTTTGTGGCAGAGGCTGTCCTGTGCAATGTAGGTTTGGCGGCATCCTGATCTTTACCCACTAACTGCCGTAGCACGCCCGCCACGAAGCCGTGACACCAAAAACTTCTTCAGACACTGCCAAACGCTCTCTGAGGTACAAAATTGCCCCCTATTGAAAACTACTGCCTTAAGGTCATGGAAAACCAATGCAGTTGGTTCTGGAAGGAATGGGATTCATGCACCCAGTGCTCAGACTTATACGAGGTGCTCAATGAATATTGAATGAATGAATGAATGAATGAGCTTCTGAAGTCCCTATATATGTTTTGGGCCTCATCCGGAAGAGCCCTGGCTGATAGTTAAATTTTAAGGTGCCCAAATGAGAAGTACCAATAATACCACATCCATTTATACAGTGCTGTGTATAAATTGAATAATCTTGGGCCCAGTAGCTCAGGTTCCTCATTTCTTAAATGGGGATAACAATCCCTGTTTTGCAAGCTCGTTGGGAAAATTAAATGAGAGAATTGTAACATATGCAGCATTAGGGGTCAGGGCACTCATTCTTTGGGTGCAATTGACAAAAGGAATCTTAGCAGAGTGGCCTCCCAGTGAGTGGGTAAAACTTATGGACTAGTCCAGGCGTCCCCAAACTATGGCCCGCGGGCCACATGCGGCCCCCTGAGGCGATTTATCCGGCCCCCCGCCGCACTTCAGGAAGGGGCACCTCTTTCATTGGTGGTCAGTGAGAGGAGCACAGTATGTGGCGGCCCTCCAACGGTCTGAGGGACAGTGAACTGGCCCCCTGTGTAAAAAGTTTGGCAACGCCTGGACTAGTCAGTCTGGGCATATACTGCTTTTGTTACAGACACGTGGAATACACTATGCCAGGGACTGACATATCAGCTATGCAACTCATCCCTCACAAGCAGGCTGGTGAGTGAAAAGGCCCAGAGCGTGGTGACATTCCAAGGACTCTACAGCTGATAAGCAGCTCCCTGAACTCCAACAACTCAGTTCATCAGCACCCAGGGCTGGCCAGCCCACTGGCCCCACCAGCTCCATCACACTGAGGCTTGTTTGGACTGTGGATGTGGGGGAAATGCTTTCTATATTCTGTGTTCTGTAGTTTTGCATAGACATAGATCACCAGATCTGGAAATGTCTTCTGAAAATACCAGGAAGGATCTCCAATTTTTAATTTTATCCTGAAATAAAACACAAATGGTTCAGCATGCTTGCCCCAAATTATTCTTCCCCACTTCACCGCATATAGCCCTGATGATCTCTTTGCTCTCTTGATTCCTAACACAGAGTGAATAAGGACTTTGGAATCTGACAGAGCAAGACTCCTCCCCTGACTCTTCAGCTAATTGTGCAACCTTTGGCCACAGTCTTTCTGAACTTTAGATTGTTCATTCATACAATGGAAATAATGCAATGCCACAGTCCTCTGCCTACAATTTCAAAATCCAGAAGAGCCCTGAACTGCCAGGTATTTTGTGTTTGCAGCTAACATTTTTGGCAACAAAAGCTGGCATAATTAATGGGGGCTATTTTTAAACATATATAACTCTACATTCACTTTACCCAGCCGTCCAGTCTCCTGTGTTACTTCACACAAGGGAATCACTAGCTCCTGTTCAATTTGTTTGACCATTTTTCCAACAAAAAATGACAAGGAAGATAAGAGCCTGCTGGACATGTCCCTCATCAATTGTAAGGCCATTGTGATAGAGCCTTTTACAAACAGAGGGAAGGAATTACTTTTCTTTTATCAAAATGGATTTTCTTTTCTCCATCACAGATATGAAATTAGAACTGGATTTTTAAAATTGTTCTCATTCCACATATAATTTGTAGGAATGAAAACAATGCTTACTTTTTATTTTTTTCTTCATCAATGTGTTCTCCCAAATTCCGGATGAACTTCAGCAGATCACCCACAGTGTTCTGGTAGCAATCTTTTCCTTTCTTTTTATAAAACATATTCATTTTTTTCATAACATATTCATTAATCTTAAAAAAAAACACAAAAATGTGGTAGCAACACAAAATAAATCCTGATGGAATATTAATACCAAAAGACAAAATATAAATTTGAATCTCTTCTTATATCTATAATTACCAACTAATTAATAAGGCAAAATAGTAGAAAAATGGAAGTAAATGCTGTATACCAAAATGCTAACTATAATTGTGTCTAGTCTGGGCAGTGGTGGCTCACACCTGTAATCCCAGTACTTTGGGAGTCCGAGATGGGCAGATCACCTGAGGTCCAGAGTTCGAGACCAGCTTGGCCAACATGGTACAACCTTGTTTCTACTAAAAATACAAAAATTAGCCAGGTGTGTTGGTGCCGCCTGTAATACCAGCTACCTGGGAGACTGAGGCAGGAGAGTCACTTGAACCTGAGGCAGGAGAGTCACTTGAACCTGAGAGGCGGAAGTTGTGAGCTGAGATCGCACCACTGCACTCCAGCCTCAGCAACAGAGCAAGACTCCATTTCAAAAACAATTAAAAATTTTTCAAAATTCAAAAAATATATAATTGTGTCTGGATGTGAGATTACAAGTATGTTCAAATTTGTGTCTGTATTTTGCAAGTAAATTGTTTTCCTAAGAAATTAAGTATATTAAAATATGGTTAAAAACTCTTTGACTACTATACTAGGAAATTTGTTCATTATACTACACATATTTTTATCCTGTGGCCACCCTTTCAAATTCATACTTGATTACATTTCTTTCTTAAAAAGGGCTATTCAGACTGAAACCAGGGCTGGCAACCATGGCCAAAGTGAGTGTTTATTATTATTATTATTGTTCTCACTCATAGGCGGGTGTTGAAGAATGAGAACGCATGGACACAGGGAGGGGAGCACTACACACTGGGATCCGTTGGGGGGAAATGGGGGAGGGACAGGGGGTGGGGAGGTGGGAAGAGATAGCATGGGGAGAAATGACAGATACAGGCCAGGGGACGGAAGGCAGCAAACCACACTGCCATGTGTGTACCTATGCAACAATCTTGCATGTTCTTCACACGTACCCCCAAACCTAAAATGCAATAATAAAAAAAAAGAAGACAGATAAATGGCCAAAAAGCATATGAAAAAATGCTGAACATCACTAATCATCAGAGAAAGGCAAATTAAAACCCAATGAGATATCATCTTATACTAGTTAGAATGGCTGCTATTAAAAAGTCAAAAGTAACAGATGTTGGGGAAGATGCAGAGAAAAGAGCAATGCTTATACGCTGCTGGTGAGAAGGCAAATTAATACAACCTATGTGAACGACAGTAAGGAGATTTCTCAAAGAACGAAAAATAGAACTGCCATTTGATCCAGCAATCTCACCACTGAATATCGACCAAAAGAATCTTTTTCTTTTCTTTGTGGTTTTTCTTTTCTTGAGACAGAGTCTCACTCTATCACCCAGAGTGGGGTGCGGTGACACTATCTCAGCTCACTGCAGCCTCTGCTCCACAGGCTGAAGCAATTCTTGTGCCTCATCTTCCCAAGTAGCTGGGATTACAGACATGTGCCACAATGCTTGGCTAAGTTTTGTATTTTTAGTGGAGGAAGGGTTTCACCAGTGTTGGCCAGGCTGGTCTCAAACTCCTGACCACAAGTCAAGTGTTCTATTCATCTCAGCCACCCAAAGTGCTGGGATTACAGGTGTGAGCCATTGCACTCACCCCAAGAAATCTTATATAAAAAATATACCTGCACTCATATGTTTATTACAGTACTATTCACAATAGCAAAGATATGGAATCCACCTAAGTGTCCATCAACAGATGATTGGATAAATAAAATGTTTTATATGTAAAAAATGAATGTTATATATATAAACATATATATATATATATTTCAGCCACAAAAAAGAAGAATGAAATCATGTCTTTTGTGGACACGTGGATGGAACTAGAGGCCATTTTCTTACGTGAAATAACTCACAAGCAGAAAGTCAAATATCACATGTTCTCACTTATAAGTGGGAGCTCAGTAATGTGTACACATGGATGTACAGAGTGTAATAATAGACAGTGCAGACTTGGAGAGGCGGGAGGGTTGGAGGAGGGGAAAGGATGAGAAATTACTTAATGGGTACAATATACATTATTCAGGTAATGGTTACACTAAAAGCCCAACTTTACCACTACACAATATATCTGTGTAACAAAACTGTGCTTGTACCTGCTTAAATTTATATTTTGGACAAGGTTACTTGTTTCTCCTTGCCTGCAGGTGTCCCAGATTAAGTCCGTTCATATCATAGTAACGTCATCCTCTTTCTTTGCCACCCTCATACATACAGAGCCATAGATGGCTCTCATATTTAGAAAGAGTTTGGGCTACGAGATCAAGGTGCGACAGTCATGAATCCAGGGGGTCACTTAAGAAGAGTAACTGATGAAAAGAGCAATGCTGGTGAGGATGCTGCTGAGACTGGCCCGGTGCACTCTGCGCAGAGCACCAGTGAGAAACCCCAAGCATGCATGTGGGGCAGGATGGTGCAAGTCCAGAACCAATACAGTCATACGAGCCAGAAAACCTGGGCTCCAGACCTATGCTGACAAAATTAATTGTGTGACCATGAAAACGGGCAAGTCAACAGTAAAACAAGGTATAAAATGGGAATTGAAAGGCAAAACTTGAAGTCTATCAAAATTCAGTATTAGTCCATGGCATTTAGGGAAAAGAACCAATAAATTGGGAAATAAGAGAACGAGTTTGTCTTTCCAGCTCTGCCAATCTCTGACTGTCCAGGCATGCATCATTTGAGTACAGTCTCTGAGCCTCAATTTCCTTGTTGATTAAAGGAGTTGGCGGACTTGACACCATCATAGCTTTGTGTAGTGGTGTGGCTTAAGCATATGGATATGGCCTCTGCAGCCATCCTTCCCAGCTTCAAATCCTGGTGCATCCCTTACTGGTTCTGTGTAATTGAAAAAATTATTTTTCTATGCCTCAGCTTGGCCATCTGCAAAATATAGATGACTGTCTCTGAAGTTGTGATAAGGATTAAATGTGGTAACTCATGTAAAGTCTCAAGAACTAAGGCTGCTACATGATCAAGCACTACATAATCGTTAGCTATCACTAGCATAGCTGCTTTCAGATTTCTTTGTTTCCACAAGTTAAAGTGTTAGCCGAAGTTTTATAGACATTCGTTTAGTAAAGAGTCACGGTACATCTACTCCGTGACAGGGCATACAATAATTGGCAAGACAGTGAGTAGTGTCTGCCTTCATGGAACTTCAGGCTAGCAAGGAAAATGGACCTTAAGCCAGTAATTATGAGTGTGATGTGAGGTCTAGAGACCAGTGAAGGAAGGAAAGCAAAACAAGAATCAGGAGAAGCAGAGTCCCAGGACAGGCCTAGGATAGAAAGCTGTTGGTTTCCAAGACCTGAAGATTACGGATTCTCCCACAGTGCTTTGCACATGTCCCTGGGATGCCCAGCACACATCCCGCAGCATCATTTCCATGGGCTTCTCAGCTCCACAGGGACACACTGTATTCTGCTTTGTATGCTCAGGGCTTTGCATGGGCCTAACACATAATTGGTATTGTGTAGATTTTTGTTAATTAATAATGAAAGTTCTGATAGTACTGTCTAGATGAATGAGATGGTGAAGAATTTTGTAGAGTTCTTAATGCAAGTTAAGTGGAACTTTTCTTAAAGAGAACAATTTGAAAGATCGTCTTTTCTTCATAGACTATTTCTTCTGGCAGAATGTAGGTCTGTGTGTGGATCCTGAGAGCTGAGCTGTTCACAGGCAGTGGAGGCAGCCAGGCTGTACCTGGACTGATATGCCTCGTGGTGAAGCACTTCCCTTGGATTAAGCTCTGTTTACTCGGATGCTCTTGTTATAATGGTAATAGAATTATCAGCCAAGTGTGAGGAAAGGCTCATGGACTAGGATAATGCCATCCAGGAGGCGTCTGAATAACAGTCTATCAGGGGGGCTGTGGGTCTGGGTGGGACAGAGAGATGACCAGCTTCTAAAAGGGGGAGCAGATACTCTGGCAGGTGGCCTAGAGGGATAGGAATGGGGAGGGCAGGCAACAAAATTGCCTCTTTGAGCCTCTGGTTGGCCACCACTGGTATAAAATAAGTTAGAAAAACTAACATAAAACTTTACACAGACTCTAATTCCTGGAACAATCCCTGCACCGGTAGGAATTGTTCCTACCTTAGTTGTCCACTCGTCAAAACTTTTGGAATGTTCAGATGGCCCAGGTTTCAGCAGTTCGAGGATCTTGCTTCCACATTTTCCTGTTTTGACGTCGGATTCATTTCCCACGTTCCGAAGTGTCCTATAGCGGCTGAAGAAGACCAAACGATCACGATCATCCCATCCCTCCCACTCTTTCCAGAGCAAAGAAAACTGTTAGATTTGGGTGGTTTTTGTTCTTTTGCTTTTTGTGGGGTTTTCTGTTTATTTGTTTTTGTTTTTGTTTTTTTTGGGGGGGGGGTTGAGATGGAGTCTCACTCTGCCACCCAGGCTGGAGTGCAGTAGTGTGATCTCAACTGACTGCAACTTCTGCCTCCTGGGTTCAACCAATTCTCCTGCCTCAGCCTCCTGAGTAGTACAGGCACCTGCCACCATGCCCAGCTAATTTTTGTATTTTTAGTAGAGATGTGGTTTCACCATGCCGACCAGGCTGGTCTGGAACTCCTGATCTTGTGATCCACCCGCCTCAGCCTTCCAAAGTGCTGGGATTATAGGCATGAGCCACCATGCCCAGCCAGATTTTGGGTTTTAACAAAAGTAATACAACCAACGCATGTCTTCAGAAATTCTGCATTATGGGAGAGGCAAGCATCTCTTTCCTCCCCACCCCCACCACCGCCCCATCCCTTATTCTTCAGAAACAAAAAGCAGACTACAGAGAGGTTAAGTAATCTCTCCAAGGACACCCAGCCAGTAAATGCCAAGCTGAAAAAGAGCCTGGGTCTGCTGATTTGCACCCTGGACCTCTGTCTGCACCACCTCACCCTCTCCATCCTGGAGGCATGAGACTTCTGCTCAAAGTTGTACTTACCTCTCCCAAGTCCAAAAGAAGGGATGATCTAGCAGGTCACTCAGACAGTCCCTCACATGTGCCCCAGGGTGGAAGAGATGATTAATGAGGTCCTTAGTTTCTTCATCTGGAGAAAGTTGAACCACCTCTTCATTACTTTGAGCCTTCAGTTCCTCAAATGGGATGCTTCCCTTCTTTACCACATAGAGGACCAGCCGTCCAAGATCCTGCACAAAAGCCGTAAATCAAGCCAAAGGTGCTTATGAATTATCTGGATAACCTTGGAAGGAGTGGTGCAGGATATTAACAAAAAGAAGCTGATAGGAGAAATTTCAAGGAATTTGTAGCCTTGTTAGGGAGAGAAGACACAGATTTGTGCATAGAGACCTCTGCAAGGTAGTACATAGTCCAAAAGAAGACATTTATGCAGCCAACATATGAAAAAAAGCTCATCATCACTGATCATTAGAGAAATGCAAATGAAAACCACATTTAGATACCATCTCATGCCAGTTAGAATGGCAATCATTAAAAAATCAGGAGACAACAGATGCTGGAGAGGATGTGGAGAAATAGGAATGCTTTTACACTGTTGGTGGGAGTGTAAATTAGGTCAACCATTGTGGAAGACAATAGGATGATTCCTCAAGGATCTAGAAATATAAATACCATTTGACGCAGCAATCCCATTACTGGGTATACACCCAAAGGATTATAAATCATTCTGTTATAATGACACATGCACACATATGTTTATTGCAGCACAATAGCAAAGTTTACAATAGTGAAGACTTGGAACCAACCCAAATGCCCATCAATGATAGACTGGAGAAAGAAAATGTGGCACAAATATACCACGGAATACTATGCAGTCATAAGAAAAGGGTGAGTTCACGGCCTTTGCAGGGATGTGGATGAAGCTGGAAACCATCATTTTCAGCAAACCAACACAAGAACAGAAAACCAAACACTGAATGTTCTCACTCATAAGTGAGTCTTGAACAATGAGAACACATGGACACAGGGAGGGGAACATCACACACCAGGGCCTGTCGGGGGTAGGGGACTAGGGGAGGGACAGCAGGGGGTCGGGGGGATTGGAGAGGGATAGCATTAGGAGAAATACCTAATGTAGATGACGGGGTGGGGGGCGGATGCAGCAAACCATCACAGCACATGTATACCTATGTAACAAACCTACACGTTCTGCATACGTACCCCAGAACTTGAAGTATAATTTTAAAAAAATAGGATGCCCTCCTATTGCCTATAGGAAATAAGGTAATGAGCTGTGATGGTTAATTTTGAGGGTCAACTTGATTGAGCTGAAGGATGCAAAGTATTGTTCCTGGGTGTGTCTGTAAGGATGCTGCCAAAGGAGATTAACATTTGAGCCAGTGGACTGGGAGAGGCAGACTCACCTTCAGTCCAGGTGGGCACCACCTAATCAGCTGCCAGCAAGGCTAGAATAAAGCAGGCAGAAAATGAAAGAGCAGACGACCTGCTAGGTCTTCTGGACTTCATATTTCTCCTGTGCTGGATGCTTCCTACCCTCAAACATCGATATCCAAGTTCTTCAGCTTATGGGCTCTTGGAGTGACATCAGTGGTTTGCCAGGGACTCTCCAGTCTTTGGCCACAGACTGAAGACTGCACTGTCGGCTTCCCTACTTTTGAGGTTTTGGTACTCAGACTGATCCGCCACTGGCTCCCTTGTTCCCCAACTTGCAGCCTACCTATTGTGGGACTTCATCTTGTGATCCTGTGAATCAATTCTCCTTAATAAACTCCCTTTCATATATACCTATGTCCTATTACTATTAGTTCTGTCCCTCTAGAGAACACTGACTAATACATGAAAGAATAAGGAAGCCAAAAGAAGAAAGATGATAAACTGGATGGTAGAATTTACCTCCAGATCTCTCTTGACTTCCTGTGGATCTCCAGTCCACTTGAGGCTCTGATCAAAATCTGCCAGGTGAACAGCATTCTTAGAATCTAAGGAAAAGTTTGCAGAGGCACATTGAAAATACTCATTCTCCATAAAGTGAGAGTTAATTGATTTATGTAAATATGTAACATGCTGTAAAAATCATCATTTCTGTGGAAGGCAATAATAAACCTTATATCTGTCTTGCTGTTCACCCCTCAAAACACCGCCATGTGCACTGTCGTATTTATCTATTAGGTATCTGTCAAGAGCAGAACTCACATTTTATTTTTTCCAGGCCAGTGGGTAGGAAGGGATGAGGATAAGTTCAACCAACTCCTCATTCATGCAATTCCCGCATCCAAAAGCACAGATTTGTAAAGGAGCTGTTTCCTCACACCGAGCTTAAATCTTAATGCATGTCTATGGATCGGGTATGTATTCTGCTTAAACCTTTAGGCAAGAACAGCCTTTCTTGAGCACCTATGATATACCGACTGACTTACTACTTAGTCATTGCATGTAGACCTCATAACAGCCTTAGGAAGGAGGCATTAGCAGCCTCAAGTGAGGAAACTGAGGCTCACCCTATCAAGTGACTTGTCTGAGGTTATAAAGCTACACACTGGTGAGGCTAGGCTTCAAGCCACCCGAATCATCGCCAAAGCCCTGGCTTGTTCCACTGCATGGGATTGCTTCCTGGGACTTTACGGTCAGCTCTGCTTGTTTCCTTTAATATTATTTTTCTTTCCTTTGTTTGGCTTGGACCAGTGGATTCTAACTAGTTCTGCCTTGAAGTCTGTGTCCTCACTATGTCATATCTCGTCCTGACAGCCTCAGTTTTGACCTCAGATTTGCCAGTAAGTCTGAAGGAACTCACCTCTAGGATTCTCAAATTTCTGGAGCTAGTTTGATCCATGAAATGCCTTCATCTGTTTATTCTGCCAATGGAAACATAAGGCTAGCCTGGTATTCCGTTGGCATCTGCCAACCTCCATGTAGACTAAGAGAACCCAGTATGATTGGTAGCAGGAGACACTGCACTGTAATTATGAATTTGTTGTAATGATCCTCAAATTGAATAATCCACATTTACTCTAGGCCTTCCCTCTCTGCAAGGAAAAACTTTTCCTTTTGCAAACAAAGACCTCAGAATCGGTAAGAGAGAATTGAGGATTGGGGACTCACTTATTAAGATGTTTTGTGGTTGCAGATCCTGGTGGGTGTATCCACAGGACAAGTGTAGTTCTTGGACAGCCTTAAATATAGATGACAGGACATTTCGGGCAAACTCATCTTCTTCATTGTCCACAGCTTCCCCTCTGTGCACATCCAAATACGCTTCCAGAGTCCGTTCACAGAGGGTGACACACACAAACAAGTGGCCCCTGTGGCTCTCACTCCCATAGAAGGTCACCAAGTTACTGTTCTCTCGGCTGCTTTGCAGACAAGAGACTTCCTGCCGCGCACGTGGGCTCCCCTCACAGAACGTCTTCACAGCTACTTCCTGCTTCTCATAGAACCCCAGGTAGACGCCCCCTTCCGAAGTATCAGCGATTTTGTATTCATCATCAATAAAGAACTTGAGTTTGCCAATCATGGGGCGGTATATTCTGTGGAGATTCTTCAGGGCTGCCCCCCAGCGTGAGCTCTGAGGCTTCCAGTCTTTGGCAGGAGGGTGAAAACGTTCTTTGGCTCCATGATCGAGAAGAAACTTCACAAGGGAACTGTCATAATGCCGCCTCGCTATCATCACAAGATCCCCACAGTCCGTACTGGCTCCACGGCTGCACAGCAACTCAGCGATCTCCTTCAGTCTGAGTTCAACAGCAAGCAGCAGGGCCGTTTTGCCTTCGCTGTCTGTGTCATCGATCTCTATGTGCTCTTCCTCCAGAAGCCTCTGCACCAACCCCAAGTGCCTCTTCTCCACGGCCAGGATCAGGGGCGTCTTCCCTTTTTCTCCCCTCACATTGACATCAGCCCCGTGGTCCAGCAGTAGGTGGGTCGTAGCCTCCACATTCCTATTGTGAGAGCTCAGGAGAGCACGGATCAAGGCATTTCTGCCCATATTGTCACAGGCGTTGACATCTGCCCCCATCTCATCAAGGAGAATCTTCAAGACCTCTTCGTGGCCTTCTTCAGCAGCGTCCATGAGAGCGGTGGCCCCTCCTTTCTTCAGCCGCTCTTGATCCTCCCTTGTCTTTCGCCTCAAATTCACATCTGCTCCTCTCTCGTGAAGGAATTTTAGGGCTTTGACCTTGCCATACGCAGCGGCTTCCATGAAGGCTGTGAAGCCATAAAAATCACACTCATTGACATCTGCTCCTTTAGAAAGGAAAAGTTCCAGCAACTTCACGTTCCCCTCAATGGCCGCAACGATGAAGGGGGTGGCCCCATTCTTCTTCCTCAGAACAGGGTCAGCACCGTGAAGAAGCAGAAGATCCACAATGTCCTCCCTGCTCATTTGTACCGCGTTATGCAGAGGTGACCAGCCCCCTTCCTCTTCCTGGAAATTAACGTTGGCCCCGCCCTCCAGCAATTGCTGGACCAGGCCAACATCTCCCTTTCTAACAGCTTCAATCAGCAAGCGATTGTCTTCCGCTGTAGCTCTTCTACTGCTGGAGGAGGTGGGATCCTCCTGGAGGCTGTTAAGATCCCCGGTCTCCATGACGGTAAATGCCACCTGCTACCAATTTTTGCCTTTTCCCCGAGAAAAGGCCAACTTATCTCCTTGCACTTAATCAAAGAAGCTTTGAGTGTAAATTGGGATTCTCTGGCAACAGAGCAGCAGTATGAGGAAGGCACGAGATTCTCAGTCTTCTGACACTCCACCTGGGGATGAAGAGAGGCACTTTGTAATTTTACAATAGGGAGAAAACACTTGAATCAGAGAAATTAATTATAGTAGTATTTTTTTCTAAATATATCTATTTCTTATAAAACTTTTAAATTACAGAATATTATAAATATATGTAAATTCAAAATTAGAAAATTATTTCTCTCGTCAAAATGCCCAGAAACAGCCAATGTTAATATTTTGGTGTATTTCTATAGAGTTTTTAAGGCATTTGGAATTATACTCTGTAAGTAACTTTGTATCCTACTTCCTTTCATTTAATACCATACTGTAAGTTATTTCCTATATTATTGCAAAGTCTTGTAAAACATTTTTCATGGTGGTATAATATGAAATCATACAAGTGCTTTATTCCTCTATCACTGCGTGGTTTTCAAAAATAAGTTTTAGCTGGGCACAGTGGCTCACGCCTGTAATCCCAACACTTTGGGAGGCCAAGGTGGCCAGACCACCTGATGTCAGGAGTTCAAGACCAGCCTGACCAACATGGAGAAACCGCATCTTACTAAAAATACAAAATTAGACAGGTGTGGAGGCTTATGTCTGTAATTCCAGCTACTCAGGAGGCTGAGGCCGGAGAATCACTTGAACCTGGAAGATGGAGGTTGCAGTGAGCCGAGATCATGCCATTGCACTCCAGCCTGGGTGACAAGAGTGAAATTCCATCTCAAAAAGAAAAAAAAAAAGTTCTAAACGGTTTTTTTTTAATTAAAAAATTTTAAATAATTCTAAATGATGTTGCAGCAGATTCAGCTTATTTTAATTTATTATAATAGATCTTGCAATAGATTTCATATAATAGACTTCAAAGAATTAAATGACTATTCAAAAGATACGATTGTATTTAGGATTTTTAACCTATATTAGCAAATTGTTTTCAATGTCATATAAATATATTCTTACGAGAGACAGCTGGCTTTTAAAAAAAAAAAATAAAAGACCCTGAAAATATGTATACCAACTATTTATCAATAAAAACAAGAAAAACCCTCATTCAATAGGAAAAATACATTTCATGGTTTTTTTTTCCTTTGCATTTCTTATCTCACCAGAAGGTTTGGTCACTGCGTTTGGTGACTCTGAGCATGTCCTCTTTGTACAACCGTGTGCCCCTATTTAAAGTACAGACAATATCTGACTTACGATGATTCAACTTATGATTTGTTGACTTTGCAATGGTAAAAAAACAATAAACATTCAGTAGAAACCACACCTCTAGTACACATATGATCATTCTGTTTTTTACTTTCAGCACAGTATTTGATCAATACATGAGACATTTAACACTTTATTATAAAATAAGCCTCGAGCTAAATGATTTTGTTCAACTGTAGCCTAATGTAAGTGTTCTGAGCCCATTTAAAGTAAGCTAGGATGGATAAGCTATGACGTTCAGTAGATTAGGTGTATTAAATGCACTTTTGACTTACGATATTTTCCATTTAGGATGGGTTTATCTGTATATAACCCCACCATAAGTCAAGGAGCATCTGCAGTAGTGAAAAGAGCTTGTACTCTGACCTTAGAGAGATCTAAGTTTGAGCTTGTGGCTGTGTGATTTTTTACTATTACTTCCTGTAAACTTAGATTGTTGAATCTCAATTTTCTATTTCCTGAAATAGGGACAAAAATAAACACAGTCATGTGTGTAAAGTATATAAAAGTACAGTGTGTTGCAAATATTAGGTACTCAGTAAATGTTAAAGCTAATTATATCCCTTTATGAAAAAATAAACTGCTTAACGAATTCTGTTCTCCCTACGTGTGTGCATATAGCTACTACACAAACAGGCAACTGGCAGCTATCAATTTTGTCCAACTGTCAATCAGATCTGAGAATTACAGATCCAATTCAGTCATCAGACAGCGCAAAACTGTTATCTGAATATTTAAATAACTGCATCTGCTACAGAATTCACAAAGCAACCCTTTTTCAGCAATCTCACCACTCTTGACAGTTTCAAAGCCTCAGAGGTTAATTGATCGGTAATTAATTGTGCAACACAAACACTTCGAACCAAAGTGTTTGTGTAGACAGTCCCAGTTACAATCAGATGTGAGGTGGGCTGGCATGAACAAAGGAGCCCTGAGTGACACATCAGAGCTGAGAAGAGAGAGGCGCGCCAGCGGAAGTACTGCAACAGGCAATTCTGCTTTCAATTTCGTTTTCTCTATGCGACCAGAGATGCCTGAGAAACCAGGGACATGGATAAATGATGTGTGGATTGTGACAGAACCTCCGAAAGGCTCTGCAGGAAGGTCCCTCGGGGCAGCCAAGGGCTACGAGCTCTGCTCCACATCCCAGGCCCTCCGGCCCCGAGCCACTCCAGTCCCTAAAGCCCAAGAATTCTTCAAGATCGACTTCTCGAGATTTTCTAGCTTGCCTCCTTCTGCCTGCCTTACCTTCTCAATTCAGGCATCTCGATTATTCCTTTGCCAGCCGCTGTGCCTGGAAGACTGATTGCAACCCGAGCGGTGGTTTCCTCCTGCTGCGTCACTGAGCCAGGAGGCGGAGCCTGGAAAGGAGTGAGGATTGTGGAAGAGGAGAAAAAGCAGCCACAGGCTCACTCTGGCGCCAGGAGCCGAGCTTCTGCTTGCACACTTTCTGGAGGAAAGCAATGACCACTTTTGGTCTGCTGAGAAGAATGTGGTGCCCTGGGTCACGTAGCTCACCTCTCAGTCTCGCAGCCTTGCAGGTGGGAGTGGCCAGCTCCATCCATCACTCTTGCATCCTTTCTCTGTCATTGCAAATCCTGGTCTTCTTGAAAGAAAGGAATGGAAAGTAAACACATATTGAGCACCTACTGTGTGCCAGACACAATGATTTACAGGCAGCATGGTCCCAGTTAACCCCTGAGAATCTTGTCAATTATGAAACTGAGGCTCACGGAAGTTAAGTAAGCATGCAGCCCGAGCCCTGTCACCTGCCTCGGCTCACGCAGTTCACAGCCCTGAGGCAGTGTGGCCTCCTCAGAAGGGTGCCTGGAGACCCGATCCTACAGCTAGCTCTGTGACTGCTTAGCTGAGTGAACTCAGGCATGTGATTCAATCATGTCAGGCCTCAGTTCTCTCCTGCAACGTGGTTTCGAAGGTTCCTTTCTGCTCTACAAGTTCTATTCTTGACCATCTTCCTAGCACTGAGCTGTGTACTGTGTATGTCACGCTACAGTGGAAAGTATTCCCATCCCCAAAGGATACCCAGTCTTTCTGGGAAGACAACGCCCTGAGACTTGTGGACAGTAAGTCGTGCGTGGTCACGTGACAACCACCTGTGCCACACCATCCAGACCCGGGGCCTCTGCCACCCCTTACACACCGGGGACTCTCAGGCCTCGCTCTCTAACCCCAGCCTCTCTGCCGAGCTTTAGACCTACAAACCTTGAACATGTATCAATTGGAAACACTCACCTTTTCCTAAATCTGCCCGTCTTATTTTTCCCATCTCCACAGATGGCACCACCACCTGGAAGCCACCCCTCATCCTCATCCCCACACCAAGTCCCTTGCTTTCATCTGCACAGGAATGACGGATCGAGCCCTCATCATCGTGTATAGCAAGAGACTGATGACTTGCTTCCTAGTCCCTCATCCACTGTCCCACCCCGCATCACTGACTCACCGTCATTTTCAGGACACAGTTCAAAATCCTTAACCCAGTATTCATTTAATTAATACTTAGTGCGCGGACCCTGTGGCTCATGCCTGTAATCCCAGTACTTCAGGAGGCCGAGGTGGGCAGACAGCCTGAGTTGAGGAGTTCAACACCAGCCTGGCCAACATAGTGAAACCCCATCTCTACTAAAAATACAAAAAGTAGCCAGGCATGATGGTGAGCACCTGTAATCCCAGCTACTCGGGAGGCTGAGGCAAGAAAATTGCTTGAACCCGGGAGGTGGAGGTTGCAGTGAGCCGAGATCGCACCACTACACTCCAGCCTGGGTAACAGAGTGAGACTTCATCTCGGAAAAAAAAAAAAAAAAAAAAAAAAAGATTGAGCGCTTACTGTGTTACTAGTGACTATTCTGTGTGTCTGGCATAGAGTGATTTACCACACAAGTTCCATGGAGTTCTTCTTGGATCTTTCGTCTTAACAGGCAGAAATGGATCATAAACAGTTGAAAAACCCAGCATATCATGATTTCAGGTCACAGTACAGTCCCTGCCTGTCACTATTCCTCATGCATCATCAATACTGGCCTCCAGTTCTCCATCACATTATGTCATATGCTTCTACCTCTGCGTCCTGGCCCATGCTGCTTTGCTACAGAACTAATGATAGCAGTAAGAGTGGTGAAGATGTGGACGATCCTGTTAATAATGACGGACATTTACATAGCTCTTCACTAGGGTCCAGGAACTGTTCTGAGCACTTTGCATATGTTAAATTATTTAATCTTATCCTTATGACATAGGTACTATTTTTGTCCCCATTTTGCAGATGAGAAAACCAAAGCATAAAGTGGTTAAGTAACTTGCTCTAAGTATTTGATCTATATCACTGAACATCACAGAGAAACAGCTTGCCCTTTTTTTTCGGCTGGTTGGTTGTTTTTTGAAACAGAGTCTCACTGCGTTATCCAAGCTGGAGTGCAGTGGTGTGATCTCAGCTCACTGCAACCTCCACCTCCCACGTGCAAGTGATTCTTATGCCTCAGCCTCCCAAGTAGCTGGGATTACAAAGATGTGCCAACATGCCCAGCTAATAATTTTTTTATTTTTAGTAGAGACGAGGTTTCACCATATTGGCCAGGCTGGTTTCTTTTTTTTTTTTTTTTAAGAGACATGATCTTGCTGTGTCACATAGGCTGGAGTGCAGCAACACAATCATATAGTTCACTGCAGCCTCAACCTCCTGGGCTCAGGCGAACCTCCTGCCTCAGCCTCCCAAATGACTAGGACCCATTGTAAGGCATGCACCACCATGCCCGGCTAATTTTTTAATTTTTTGTAGAGATAGATTCTCATTGTGTTGTCCAAGCTAGTTTTGACCTCAAGTAATCCTCCAGCTTTGTGCTCCCAAAGCACTGAGATTTTAAGTGGGAGCCATTGCACCCAACCCCAGAATATCTTCTAAGAGGGAATCAGGATACTTATGATAGGGTTTGGGCTTTATGTCAGGTGATTTGAGGGAGGGTTTAAGGAAATAGAGGTTTATTCTCAGCTGAGTGGTACAGAGAGAAGCAGAGTGCTGCCTTCATTATGATCATCTAGGAATCACGGAGAACAAAGTGTAGTTACATTGTCACTGCTAAAGAAACAGCAGTGGCTCATGTCACCCAGGAGAGGCGTGTTGGTTACTTTTGTGGTGGCACGCCGTCTTTTCTTCGCTTTGTGTTCAGCCCTCACTGAGAAGTGAACCCAGGAGGCGGAGGTTGCGGTGAGCTGAGATCATGCCATTGCACTCCAGCCTGGGTAACAAGAGCGAAACTCTGCCTCAAAAAAAAAAAAAGAAAAGAAAAGAAAAAGAGAGAGAGAGAGAGAGCACGAGAAGAAAGAAAGAGAGAAAGAGAGAAAAAAAAGAAAAGGAAAGAAAAGAAAGAAGAGAGAGAAAGAGAAAGAAAGAAAGAAAAAAGAAAGAAAGAAAGAAAGAAAGAAAGAAAGAAAGAAAGAAAGAAAGAAAGAAAGAAAGAAAGAAAGAAAGAAAGAAAAGAAAGAAGAAAGACCAGGAAAGGGAAAGAGAAAAGAAGGAAAGCAATGGTTGGATGCTACACAGCAATAGCTAACTGAGGCAGCTACTTCTAGCTCTTACGTGGGCAATTTGCTTAAACTTTGTAAGCCTTAGTTTCTGTGTCTATAAAATGAGGACGGTAATAATAGCTAACTCATAGCAGTGTCATGAGGCTTACAGAAATTAACATATGTGAAGGACTTAGAACAGTGCCTGCCGCATGCAAGCAGCCACCATTTTTTGAACACTTACTTTCAAATGCTGCGATAAATATTTTCTGCAAATGTTATTGTCATCACAAAAGTCCTATGAAGCCAATATTATTGTTATTCCCATTTTACAGGAAAAAGTGAGGTTCTGAGAAACTGAGTAATGTGCTGCTGTTTACTCAGCTGATAAGCAGCAGATGTGGAACTGAATTCAGCTGCCTGACTTCTGAGCCTGCTGACTCTACAGTTAGGACGTACCGTGCAGCTTGTGAGGCTGCCCCTTGGAACTGTGAGATGAACTGAGCTGAGGCAATTCTACTCCCCAGCATGGAACTGCCCCTTAAGTGGGATGCCATTACAAATACAAGATTAATCCACACATTATCACTTTTCTGAAAGACTAAATTAAATCATTCTCTGGTTACAGATCAAAGCTTGAAAGTCATCAACATTGGCCGGACGCGGTGGCTCACGCCTGTAATCCAGGCACTTTGGAAGGCCAAGGCGGCAGGTTGCCTGAGCTCAGGAGTTCAAGCCCAGCCTGGGCAACATGGTGAAACCCTGTCTGTACGAAAATACAAAATAAATTAGCCAAGCATGGTGGTGCACGCCTGTAGTCCCAGCTACTCGTGAGGCCCAGGAAGGAGAATTGCTTGAACCTGGGAGGTGGAGGTTGCAGTGAGCTTATCTCACCAGTGCACTCCAGCGTGGGTGACAGAACGAGACTCCATCTCAGAAAGAGAGAAGAAAGAAAGAGAGAAAGAGAGAAGGAAGAAAAGAAAGAAGATAGAAGAAAATCACCAACATTGTAAATCAAGAAACGTCTTTCTAAAGGATGAGGTCTCCAGCTCCATTATCCAGCACTTAACCAGTGTATATCTCTTACCCTTAGGAGCACGCCTCAGTTATTTAAATTTCAAATCTTTCTTTTCTTCCCTAAAGCAATTTGAATAGCTGGACCAATTTAAAGGATTCATAACAGCAAATTACCCTGCAGTCAGCACGGTAATAGGTCCTGACACCTTTTTTCTCTCTACTTTCCAGCTTCCATTTTTAAAGGTAATTTCATCTCTATAAATTAAAGAAATCTTGGCTTAACTCCTGTACTTGCTGGGCTGCTTTAGTAGTGCTAATTATAATTCTTATTTCTATTAAAAATTCACATTTATTAAAGTGCATTCATAAATAAAACTGTAGTGAAACAAGTTAAAGCCATTGGATGTGTAATTCCAAAGGAAGAAGCCAAACTTTAAAAGCTTGCATTGCCTGGCATGGCCACAGTGAGGCAATAGAAGGCGAAAGACGAGCGGCCTTGCACAGTCACAGGGCACATACTTGAAAACAGCGTTGGCTGACCTGGGTTTGCAGGAATCCCACGGTCCCTGTAATACACTGGCTTACGTAATGCCTCCAACCTTCCATTTCATTATCTGAAATTCTGAAATGCTTTAAACATCAGACGAAATATGGTATTGAAGCAGCTATACTAAAAAAAAAAGATTTAGAATTCTGAGTTCAAATTCTGATCTCTGCCATTTTATTGAAAAAGTCTAAAGCTTTTTTGACATGACTAATGCCTACTGTATACAAGGCACTGTGCTAAGTACCGGGAATCAGATAATAATAATAAGTCAATCGTCATGAAGCATCAACATTCTGCCACACACTTTCGTTTCATTCAGTGGCCCCTGTAACGGGCACGCTTAGTAGCCTCATTTTACAGCTGAGGGGACTGAAGCAACTTTCCAACGTGTAAGGCCAGGATTTCTTTTCTTTTTTTTTTTTTTTAACGATCTCACATCGCTATTATTTTTTTCTAGTATTTGTTCCAATGTTTTAAAATTTTTATTATTGTTTAAATTTAAGGTATACCACACAATGTTTTGATGTATGTAAACATGCTGAAATTACTGCAGACCAGACCTCTCCACGGCACCTCCCCTCTTCCCCTGTCCCACATAGCACTTGGAGACAGGATGTCATATTTGACTTTTGTTTTTATTGTAGAAGAATATAACATGCTGAAACAGGAAAATGGGGATTGCAAACATCATTCATATCTAGGAAACCAGCTCCATTTGTCACAATAAATTAATAACAATGAGGAGTTCCTGACAGGCTCCACGAGGTTCCCAGCACATTCAGAGGTAGAGTCTGGTGGAGAGAGGGAGACAGTCAGGCTGCAGCCCCTGCTGAGATTCTCCAGTAGAGGCAAACTGAAATTACAATAATAAATAACAGCACCAACAATAACAAAAACAATATGCTATGACAATCGCACAAAACCAACGAGACAATACACTGAAATAATCTCCTGGGGGAGATCGGGTGCAGAGAGAACAGTGCTGATGATCCTGGGCTCTGCGGCAGGAGTTCCCGTCATGAAATGTTTGTTCGGTGATGCCCGGAGGCGACAAGCAGGTTCTGACTCCCCACGGTCCCACCCTTCCGAGCAGCCTCTCCCCGCAGCTTCTGCGCTCTGTCCGAGGGCGCCGTGGTCCTGTGCCACCTCTGCTGCCACTTGTATGGTGTATCTCATGTCAACAGGAAAGAAACACGAGGCTCCCCTTGTATCTAGGGGCCTCTCCTTTTGCCTGTTCTCATACCCACAAAACACACCGGCTCGATTTCAGCAGGACTGTCAGGGACTGCCAAGAGATTTGTTTCCTAGGATCCTTTTCTGTCTCCGTCCACGCTGCGAGGCATGAGAGCTGGAAAAGCCACTCCCTGAGGGCTCCACACTCTCTTCGCCTGGGCCCCGCCTCCAAGGGCAGCCCAGAGCTCAGAGAGGGCACATCCAGCAAGAGACCCCCCCACCCCCGCCCCGTAGGGCCTGCTCACAGGTGGCCCCTGCTGCAACCCAGGGTCGGGGCCACCTGCAGGGGGCCACCCAGAGCACCGGGACAGATTCAAAGAAGCCTCCTTTCAGGGCTCTGCACTGACTTGGAAAGGGCTCGCAGGCCAGTGTTTGAGGTATAAACATCTCATACGGGGCCAGAGTCACATCAGCGTGCTGGCCCTGATATAACCGCAAGGCCGGACTGACACGCAGGTGTGTTAGGAGGGACACGCTAAGGGATCCTGGGCCAGCCGAGAAGTCAGTGAGGAGGGCCAAAGGGGAAGCTCCACACCCAGGGCCCCTCCCTTGCCCAGAACAGTCTGGGACTCAGGAAAACAGGATGCGATGAGAGTCAGCTGAGCGACAGGCACAACAGCTGACCCGGGCGCCTTTCGCCCTCCCATGTTCACGGTTCCCTTTATCTGCAAGTTTCCTAAACCAGGCCAGAGCGCTTCCTTCTCCGGTGAGAAAGAGAGCCAGTGCTAACCCTGTACCACCTTTTCCCACAGAGAGCCCCACCAGCCCTCATGAACCCTCATTCACAGGTCCTGGAGGTGGCGGCCCCTCTCTGGCATGGGTCCCCCGGTATCTGAAGGAGAGGCTGCTGTTTTCCAAACAGGCTGCTGGAGCGCTTTTTTTTCTTTTTTTTTTTTTTTTTTTTTTTTTCTTTTTGTCCCCTTGCACTTGCTTTGCAGAACCTGCCTCCCACACAGGGGCAGCCACCTCAGGGATGGGTGACTCAACCTCTCTTCCCGGCTGGCTTCCTCAGTGCCAATGGAGACTCAGGTGTGTGAGGGCTCGGCCAGGCTGCAGCTAGACGGAGGGGCAGAGGCGGCTGAGGCTTGGGCAGCCAGGTCCCGGTAAGCGGGCGACTTCAGGAAGCGTGGATAGGAGTCCTTCTCCATCAGGGTACGTGTCTTCCCCTGAGCCGTGTCAAAGCATGTGGCTGTGGCGGCCTGCAGGTTCATCCTCGTCAGCTCGCGGGTCTCATGGTCAATGTTGACCTGCAGGAAGGAGGCACGCACAGATGAGTTGGGGAGGAGGGTGGGCAGCGGCAGGCTGGGCATCGGAAAGGGCACAGGTACTGGATCAGGCAGCAGGGGGCTCCTGAGTTGATCACTAGCTTTTCAGCTCTGGGCTTGTGCCCACATCTGACCCAGTGTCCATCCTCCAGTCGCTCTGAATTAACAGAATGAACATGAGGCCCTACTGAGAACGTATACAAATGCAACCCCCTTCACCCTTTCCTCTACAGCAACCCTACTTCAAGTCACTCTCAGCTCTCCTGGGATTTGCACTGGGCCCTCCTACCTGGTCCCTCTGCTACCTCACCCCACCCACCCCGCACCCACCCCCATCCCCGTGGTCTGTTCTCTGCTCAGCAGCTACAGTGAGCCTTTAAAAACCCAGCTCAGTTTGGAGACACCTCTGTTGTCTCCTCCTGTCTTTCAGAGGAAGAGCCAAAGAGCTTTCTGGGCCCACTGGGCTCCCAGAGGCCACACTGGCCACCTGCCTCTTGTCTGACGTCAGCTCCTGCTCCTGCCTGCTCTGCAGAGGCCTCATCTGTGACTGCGACGGGCGGCTTCCTCATCTGTGACTGCGACGGGCAGCTCTGCCCTCTGCATTTGCTGCTTCCTGTGTTAGAATGATCTTCCCTCCCTGAACTCTTTTATGTCTCTGTTGTCACCATGTCAAACAGCCCCCTCCTGACTTCCCTTTACAGAATGGAAAACCGTACCTCCTCCCAGGCCCCACCTCTGGTACTCCCGGCCTCTCATTTCCTGCTGTATTTTTATGAGTGCACAGCTCATCACCTGGCATGCATTTGTCTAGTTAGTTATTGGCGTCTTCCCCCACTCAAATATAATTTCATTAGGTAAGGAACTTTGTTTAGTTAACTGTGACAGAGACAGTGACTGTGTCTTGAACATAACTGGGGCTTAAAATACCTTTACCGAATTATGTGGAAGCGATCAGTGGTGAGAAAGCAAAAATATGGTACAAAAGTAAGGCGTTACTCCGATCTCTCCACCAGGTGACGCTGTGTTCTTTGTCGAACGCAGCCACCACGTGTAGTGGCCAAGAGGGAAGGTAAGGCAGAAAAAAATCACAGACCGGGCGCGGTGGCTCACGCCTGTAATCGAAGCACTCTGGATGCCAAGGCGGGCGGATCACCTGAGGTCGGGAGTTCAGAACCAGCCTGACCAACATGGTGAAACCCGGTCTTTTAAAAAAAAGAAAGAAAGAAAGAAAGAAAGAAAGAAAGAAATCACAGACCAAAGACCTGCAAGCCTCAGGCAGGTCAGCCTGGGGACTGAGCCAGGTTATATAAGGTCCTCGTGCTAACCGTGTCTTTCCAGTTGGTGAGTGTTTTGAGCCTTTAAAAATGGATGGGTTTATAAAGGTGGGTATGGACTGAAGCCAAAAATCCTGCCAACCCATCTTGTCCCATCATGAGTCACAGGGTGAAGACCCAGAAGTGGCACTGAGTCTGGCTTTCCTAGTCTCTGGCCACAGAAGCCCACTGGCCCCTGTGTCAGGTAAGGCCCTTCTATTTCTACACCTTCCTCCCCACTCGCCCAGACTCTCAGAGGGGAAGGAGCAGGCAGGGTGGTGCACATTCAGCGTGCATGGCGGGGCTCTAACCTCTTTAGGGGCCTCGCTGCAGATGAACTCCTCGAAGATCCGGTGTGCCCTGGAGGCCAGCTTGGTAGCCGATCGGATCTTCTTGAACTCCTCACAGGCTAGCCAGAACTCCAGGTTCTCTTCGCTGAACTCGGTCTTCAGGAAAGCGTGGAAAGCAGCCACTCCACCTGGGTTGTGGGAAAAAGGAGGCAACAGGTCAGACGAGGGGCAGAAGGGAACTAGAGAAGAAAGGACAGCAATCGCACTTAATGGCTCTATTTTTAAACATGATCGTCTTGAACAAAGGACCTGCCTTTGTACCTTGAATAGAGGCTGGCACACTAGGGGTCATTATTATTACTATTACTACTAGTATTATTCTGCCCAAGCTTTCAGCAGTCCTGGGCCTGGCTCCAAAGCACGTGAGTACCCACGTGCCACCCACAGACAGACACAAAAGGCTCCTACTCACTTTTACTGCTCAGCAACAGGTCAAACGACTCTCCCCACCCCAGCACATCTTCTGAGAAGTTTCTACTAAAAGGAAAAAAAAAAAAAAAAAGAAAGAAAGAAAGAAAAAAAATCAACAAAGTAAAGCATAGCACAAATTCTAGCCAGAACTCTGATGGAAAGTTGAGTAAAATTTACCCAAAGACTTGCTTGGTGATTGTTGAAGCTGACACCTCAAACTCTTAGGTGGACTTAGGGTAAGCAGTGGTGTTTTCTAGAGGACAATTCAGCAACCAGAAATCAAAGCTAGGGATTCTTTAGTCCTCAGTCAATATCTCTAAGGCTGTCTTGTCTCTGCCCAAAGTTATTTCGATTCCCCTGACTCTCAAAGATTTGTTTTGTATACCTCCCCAAGGAAACAGGGCCTCATAGAGTTGACAGCTACACATAACTCCAGAGTTTGGTACTGTTGATAGCCAGTATGAAAGGGTTCCTAGGCAAGGTGCATGCTGGAGTCATTAATAAAAACTTCAAGTGGTCTTGGACTCCGTCCTAGCCCTGGATGTATGTGCAATGAACCCCCAGGTGGGAGAGCCGGGTAAGTAGACATTCATGCCCTGTGTACCCTCATCTGTGGATGGACTTGGAGCCCTGGAGCCACCTACCCACTCACCCATGAGCCAAGGAGTCATAACAAACCAGCAACAAGTCCTGCTAAAATCTCTAGAGAGGGGTTGCCAACGTCCACTTCGCGTGTCCTGGCTTCTCCTTGCATTTTCCTCCTCGTGACTCCTTTCCCGCTCCCTTCCCACTAGGAAGCCTGGGCTGGTCAGCAACACTTACTTCTCTTTGCCGTGTTTACTGCTCCACTCGAATTTGCCAATACTCCCAGTACTGGAGCCCAGCTCTGATTTGTGAAGAAAGATCCCCAGACGTGTCTTGAACTCTTTGGCTCTGGAAAACAAATCACGAACATGAAAGGATTCTCATTTGCTCAGCCAGTGTGGAGAGGTTTATGGGTCCCAGAAGAGTTCTGGGTGGCACCACCGAAACTTTAGCCTCAAGAGTTCCCGGGAACTGTTGGCTGTTCCCAGGGCCCAAATGTGCTTCTCTTAACAGCATCATCAACCCCAAAACGACGAAAGCACCGTCTGAGCTATGCCGTGGTAGGTCTTACACTTTCTGGGTAATACACACACTGCCTATATGGGCTTTTTCCTAAAGTCACACTGATCTCTCTCTTTGTGCCTGTTGATTCAGAAAAGAACTCAGCATTCTTTTCAGGAGTATTTCTGAACTGTGTGGAAACTGATTCCTGCCTTCATCTTTACTTTTTCCTTCCCAGTCAGTAATGACTGGAAGCTGTTGAGTAGCTGTCTGAAATATGGACACACCCTCAACAGTGGGACCCCCTCCAACCCCCCAAAAAATCTCCCTGCCTGCTAGAGGCAGAGGGGGCCATGCCCCTAGCTCTGGGCTGAGGAATGAACACCAAGTGCTTAAGAAATGGGCAGGCTCAGTTCTGCCTGGAAATGTCAACGTGGCCTTCCTGCAGCCGGGTCTTCGGTAGGTCACCTGAGCACCTCTGCAGTTTGTCAGAGGATGGGGATGGCAGCAAGCAGCCGGCCATTGCTTCCCTTCTCCCTGCTTTCTCCCTGCTCCTGGAATCTGAGCACGTGGATATCAAGTTCGCCTCTACCTCTCAATTCTCTAGGGTCCCATCCCCGTGCCCACCCGGGTCCCCAGGCCTGCCGCTCCACTCCCTAGGAGTTGGTGGGACTTCCAACAAGCAGCTGGACAAGCTCCTCTTACCTCTCCAGGCAGGTGTTGGGGAAGGCGGCCAGGGTGCGGCACATGGCTGCGGGCGCAAGGCAGCACGTAGTGGGCAGGATGGTGGCGGGCTCCAGGAGGGTCCGCGAGCGCGAGAAAGCAAAGGCGCAGTATCAAGTGCCAGCGAGCTGGGACTGGGTTTTGCAGCCTGCATGCATCCAGACTGCCCGGCCGCTGCTTTTATCCCCTCGGAGGGGCGGGGCGGGGCGGGGCGCTCTGACCAATCGGAGGGCGGGGCTGGGCGCTCTGACCAATCGGAGAGCGGGGCGGGCGCCGAGAAGGCGGAGGCCGGGCCCGCAGCCAGACTGTGCCGGACGCCGCTGGGCTGCGGCTTGGAGCACGTGGCGCTGCTCCCTGCGCCCGGAGGACGCCGCGTGGAGGAGAAGCGGCAACAGAATTGGCACGGGGATGAGACGTGCACACCCAGTTTCCTAGGGAAAAAAACGCGCCGACCTCTAGTAACAGCAGGAAACTCACGCAGCGGTGTCGTGTTGGGAGGGTTTGCGTGGGGGTGGTGGGTCCCGGAGGCACGCGGGGCTTTGATCCCAGGCAAGTCTGAGCCTGCTGGGTCCTGAAGGACGGCGCGCAGGGTGCACGCTCGGGCAAAACAGCATCCGATTATACCGATAAGTACCATTTACGGGGCTCTTACCCCGATCGATGGACACGGGGCTAAGTAAGCTCTTCATCATCGTCGTCTCCATTTTATAGTTGAAGCAATGGGAATCAGAAAGCTCAAGCAACTTTCCCAAGATCACAGTTGGAGATGACAGACAATGGGATGGGGTGACGATTTTGTTGAGCACCTACTATGTGCCAGGCACATAACCTAAGACTCATAATAAATAACTTGCTCAAAGATGTTCAGTTAGTAGGTGTTGACTCCCAAATTCAAGTGTGAATTTATCATTCTTTTTCTGTTGCACCCCCTCCCCCTACCCGCACTGCCGCCTCCCCCCACCCCCCAACCGCAAAGGTTAGAATGCGATTACAGCTATAACTGGTGGACCATCCTGGGTTTAAGCAGTTGCTACCTTAGTGCCTCCATCTCTGAGATAAAGGTAGTAAATGCCCTGCCTCTCTCCTCACCTTCCCATAAAGGCATTACATTCTCCTCAAGACCCCTCAGTTCCCTTTGGGACTGCTATTAAGAGGCTGCATGTGAGGTTAAGAGTACAGGGTCTAGAGTTAGATTTTCAGGTTTCCAGTCATAGGCTCTGCCAGTTACTGATGGGAGACTAGGCAAACTGCTTAACCTTTCTATGCCTCTATATCCTTGTCTCTAAGAAGAGAACAACTTATTTCATAAGGTGGTTGTGAGAACCAAATAAATTAATTCTTAGATTGAGTTCCTACGAACTAGACTCTGAGGCAGAGGCTTGCGTGCAGGGGGTTTACTGGGGAGAGCGTTCAGAATTGAGAGCGAGCAAAGGAAGCAGGTTTGGACAGAGGGAGGAGTTGAAGGCCATGCCATTTCAACAGACACCCCAGCGGGTTCCAAGGAATGCCCTGAAGCTCAGCTGGCCCTTTGGAACTGTCCACTGAAGCAAGAGGACAGGCCCTGGTAACCCCATAAAGACCATCATTCCATACAGCTGCCCAAGGAGACAGCTTAATCATAAGGCAGCTCCCTTTGTCAAGAGCTTTCCTGAAGAGAGACTAACACCCTGGGGAATGATGACCACAGTCCCCAAGACTGGGTGGCACAGCACAGCATCCATGACAACATGTAAGGTGCTTATATAACAGTGCTCAATACGTAGTCAGCACTCAATAAATGTTACAATAGCTTTCAGTTTTACTTAATCAGGATACTGGGATTGCTAGGAATAAGGAAAAACAGTGAGTTTTTTGTGCCTCTTGGAATACAGTATAGGATTTTCCCCACCTAAGGGGGCTCAGTGAGAAGGCTGAGAAAAGGCAGTCAGGGAAGGAAAGGAAAATACCACAATGGGGTAAGGTGAGACCTGTGAGGTCATGGTTGAGGCTACTGGAGCAAGAGAGGCCAAAATCACAAGACAGACACTGAGGGGCCATTTGTCAACACAGAGTTGCTGTTGAACCAGGACCTGTAGAAGCTGACCCAGTTAGTCAAAACTTCAGCACTCTGCAGCGGGCTTTTTGTTGTTTTCAGAGACGGGATCTTGCTATGTTGTCCAGGCTGGTCTTGAATTCCTGGTTCCTGGGCTCAAGACATCCTCCCACCTCAGCCTCCCAAATAGCTGGGACTACAGGCACATGCCACTTGACACGGTTGTTACCCTTTCCAAACCTCTTGGTTAATTAGTGGAGAACAGAGGCAGGCACCTTCCCTCGTGGCAAACTCACCTGGTAGCAATAACTCAAGTAAACCCTGAGAATGGTGTGCTGACACTCCTGATGTGTGCTCCAAGCTCAGGAACCCAGAGTAGCCAACCGGGAGAGTCATTCTTTGTCTATGAGGAACACCTGAGCCCCTGACTTGACCCATGGAACACGAGCCATACAGGGAATGGAGGCCCTGAGTTTGGGTTGAATGAAGGTTGCCAGGTGGAAGCTGTTAAGGCAGGGTGCTAAAGGGAAATGCTATATAAACTGCACGCCTTTTGCAAACCGTTGTGGTTCCCCTCCCCAGCCTGCTGCTTCTGGGCTGTGAGGCGCTCCTGTCCAGTCTGCTGATAGTGAACTCTCTCCTCTGTATGTCAGCCCCAGTAAAACTTCATGTCTTGTTTGGTGGCTCTGGGTCTCTTCTTTGGCCTCTTGAAGGTGGTGCCATCCCCACTGGAGTCAATAGGGGTTTGGAACAACACTCCTGTTGCAGCACCATCTCAGATGCCAGCATCCTACCCTCGCCTCATCTTGCCAACCTAGGCTCTCGTTCTTCCTATCTCACGAGTGCAGGGCAGGGATGGCTTAGGGCAGGGATTGCTGATGAACAAGCGTTGGGAGCAGAGCCACGGAGTGCAGACAATGGAAGGATGCCTTTTTGAACATCTGTGTTTCTCTGGCACCTTCATTCATCCCAGCCCCATCAGCGGGGCATTCTGCTGGAGGAGTTGGTCGCCAGGTGAAGGTTTTTTGACCTGGTGCAGCTCAGGCCCCAAGGCATGCTTTTACCATACAGCTGGGAGGTGGGTGTTGTCTGTAAGACAGCTTTTCTCCATTGGACAAATATGAATTCATGGATGGATCAAACCCAGTTTCATCCTCAGTAGCACCACGTTTGGATCAGCCTGGACATGGTCACGTGACAACAATAAAATTGTTTGGAAATCTCAAACCTTCCCATCCTTTCTGCATCCCTGCAAATAGCCAGAGGGAGTTTTTAAATCCATTTTGCCTACACACACCTGAGGCACTCTTAGTCAAATGTACTGGAACTGGAAATAGCTGGAACTGGACCCTGTCTCCCAATTCCTGAGCTAGTACTTTCTCCTGCTCTGATAAAGAAAGCAAAATAAATGAGGCTGGGAACAGTGCCTCATGCCTATAATCCCAGCACTTTGAGAGGCTGATTCAGGGAGATCGCCTGAGGTCAGGAGTTCGAGACAGCCTGGCCAATATGGCTAAAGCCTGTCTCTACTAAAAATACAAAACGTAGCAGGGCATGGTGGTAGGTGCCTGGAATCCCAGCTACTTGGGAGGAGAATTGCTTGAACCCAGAGGCAGGGGTTGCAGTGAGCCAAGATCTCGCCATTGCAAAAGAAACAAAGGAATTGATGCACAGTGCGCAGACCAGCAAATCTGAGAGCACAAAGCTCCCTGCTGTAGATGAACGGCCCTCTCTGAGTTCAGCCTGCCTCTTCGTTGCCATGGTTACCTCTTCAGTTTCCAGGCAGAAACTTTTTGAAGTTCACAGTTTATCCCAAATTCTCTTCCCAGCAGGTCGGTTCATATCTGCGGTTTCGGTCATGCAGGATGACTTGACAGTTGCTGTAAATCCAGCGAGTTGAGCTGGCTTGTGAATTGCACTGGCTTTGACACAACCTGACCTCATTTTTGCTCAGCACTCCCAGAGCAGCTGTGATCTCTTTAATGGATGGCGGCATGGGGGCCCGGCTCTGCACCCTGGGTCATCTGGGGTCAGCAATCTGGGCAAAGCTGTGGTCAAGATTAAATCTCCCATAGCATCCCAGCCATATTGCCTTTCATCTCCTTCAGCCCCCACCCCCAGCACCACCCTTTCCATGGAGGCAGAAGTCTAGGTGGGGATCTTTGTCTACTGAAAATAACAAGGGGAAATGAGAATGCTTCCTCCATTTTTCTGATTCAGTTCAGATGATCCCCACCGTGGTTTAGATCCTCCAAATTCAATCATCAATCTACGAATAACATTTCTTAAGAATTTACTATATTCCCAAGTTGGTGGGAAAACAATAGCCTCTAAGTCTCTTCCCTGAATTCAAGGACCTTATATACTAGCTAAGGAAACAGAACTGCATGGTGGGGAGCAGGGAAAGTGAAAGGAAACTTGTTTGTCACAGAAACAGATGTCAAGGGCAGAGGCTGATCAGAGAGGGTTGACCGTACTGAAAAAGAAGTGATGCATCCATGGTAGCTAGTGAGAAGCAGGAGGGGTAGGAGGAAGCAAGAACACTAAAGAAACAGGAAAAACTGTTGTCATTTGGAGGTGCAGAAAAACTTAAGATATTTATTAAATGCTGCAGAAGCACTTAGGGTTGTGGGACACATTGGATGCCACTTTTAGATTTAAGAGTATATCCTGAGGCCCCTGAATGAGGAAGCAGTGATCATCTCCAGCAGAAGTGAAATAGACAATCACTGGGGACATTTCCCTGCTGGTTCATGACAAACGCTTTGGGCACCCTCTCCTCCTGGGCAGGAGAAGTTGACCAAGTTCAGCCTGGATGTAGGAAGTGACTTTTTCCTGATTAGTATCTAGGGTATTGCTGCAGCTTGTTTTGCTGCTGTATTAATCCTCTCTGGCTTCTTCTTTTCCGTCCCTCCCCACTCCCCACAAACCTAGACTTGGAGGACGATGTCTAGACTCCTCTGTAAGCCATCTAAGGTTCTAACCACTTGTTCTCACATCCTTTATACGCCCTGAATTCTGGCCAAACTCAGCGATTAGCACATTACCCTGGGCACCATGCGGCCTTATACCCATAAACCCTTGAGCATAAAATTATCTTGGCCTGAAGGTACTTCCCCTTCCTGTACCACTCATTCGAAAAA